GTATATAGATATACATACATACATACATAGATATGTATATACATACATACATAGATATGTATATACATACATACATAGAGATATGTATATACATACATAGATATGTATATACATACATACATATATATCTACATACATACATACATACATACATACATTTTTATACTATATGCAAACCCCAGTCATACCCTGAGCTTCTTAGTTGTTGCGAGCACTTGAGGAGGGACAAGTGATGATAATTCACACAATGGCCTGGTTAAAGCAGAATATGTTGGATGCTCAATGGCCCTGTTGAAAAGACAAAAGCGGAGAATATACACAGCATGAGAATGATTTAAAAAAATTTAGACATATTATAACTGTTCTGCATTCTAGCAGACATAAGAGACGAACTTCTTACCAAATGTGAGAATCCCTGACACATGTAAGGATATCTAGGTTCGGTGCACGAGGATGACACCAAGAAGCAACACTATGGCAAGCAAGTTTTGGAACAGGTTTTATCCGTCTCAGCTCCTATGTAGGAGAAACAAAAAATTAAGATAAAAAAATTAGTACAAGACTTTCTAGCCTACAAAAGAAAGAGAAGATGCACAACCTTAAATGAGACAGTATCCCAAATTGCCAAGGTTTTATCTGCACCTATGGTAATAAGCTGTGGGCCACTTCCCATCACCCTTGAAAGTTCAACAGCCCCTACTCCACCATCGTGTGCCTTGAAGAAGCCATGCGAAAGTTAATGCTACTTAAAAAGCAAATATAGTTATGTGGACGGTACATGAGTGATCATTTGGTGGGCTCACCTACTGTGCCAATGGGCCTCACCTTTCAGCCATCATGACGTGCCACATCATATAATTTAATTTCTTAGAATATGAATATGTATGTATGTATGTTTGTATATATATAACTAATTATTTTAAGAGTATTTTTAAGAAATTTTTCTTTACTTAATATATTTGTTTATGTGAAATATTGGATTTAATAATTTCAACCCTTGGTGCGGCCTCTGGCATAAGTCGCTCGGGTCGAGAGGTTCGAATCCCGTGGCACGGGCTCTTCGAATCAAAATTAAGCACACCGGGTTTTCAACCCACACGGGAGAATCGATATTTGGTGTCCACTAGACCAAATATCGATTTCACCTTATATATATATATGCTTTCATTTCTGAAATTCATCAATATAATGGTAAATTGTAGTTAAGGAAGCCTTCAACTCACACAAGCACATTCTGTTTGTGATTACAGCATGAACGTATTCAAAATGACTTCAAAAAATGAACAACAAATTGGAAAAAAAATTACAATACCTTTAAGCTGAGTTTTGGCACAAGTTCACGTGAATCATTAATATGGTCTGCGCTCCATATTATAAGTAAGCCATCACTGGCCCCAGAAACCAAGAGTGTCTGGAAGTTCATACCAACAGTAGCTGTTAGAAAATAGCTTCAAGAAGTTCATGATGCGGAGAAAATAGTGAAACAAAGTATGAAAAAAATGCTTTTAATGAAAGGAAAACAGCACTGCAACCAAATAAAAGTTCAAGCATCTTAGAATTGAATCATTAGATCAAGTTTAATACTTTCTCATGTTTTCTAATGTGGCACTCATGATGTCGCGAAAATGCACTAAATTTCATAAGTTACGCGTCAGTAAGAGTAAAACATAGTTTGGAGTGCCAATAAGTGCAAAAGTTCCATATCATATTCCAACACATGCAGTAAAATGCAGACTTGGCATAGTAGATAACTGGAAAAAAAACAAAGCTGACATCTAATTCATTTTATTTGGTCTGTCATTACAAATTACAAATCAAGCGATAGGTAATTGGTCTGTCATTACAAATTACAAATCAAGTGATAGGTAAATGTTTGCAAAAGTACTTTCCAATATCGCAACCAAGCCAAGGTGTTATTATTTTTTCTTTATTTTATTTTTCTCCCAGAAAACATTTTAGTCATAGTTGATACAAAAAGTATCCATAGGCATCATAAATAATCATTTATTAGACCTTCTACTGCAGAAGCTGCTTGCGTCTGCAAAATGGTAAGAGCAGAATTCCAGCGATATGTGGAATCCCACATCCCGGAATCATTGATCCAGCTCGTGAGAATTTTGTGTACCACAGAATTGATTGTTTGCATGATCACGGGAAGGCCGAACCACAAGATCTTATCTCACTGCTCAATTAAGTGATATTATTTCTTCTTTTTATGACTTCATTTCTTATTTTTCTTATTTCTAAATAGGTTTTATTACTTGAGGGACTATTTATGTGTTCCTATTTGTTGGTTTGAGAACGTTTAATTATTGTGTTTGTGCATTGGAGATGTTGCTCTCTATTTATTCTCTCCGAAGAGTTGTATCATTTCCTTTTGTAAATCGTGTGTTTGTGTCTTGCTTAGAAATAGGTAATGAAATCTCCTCGCCACCCATACCTCGCGGATTAGTTGTTTGATCTGCCATTTTTTAGTCCGGACAGCATCCGACGGTACCGAATCTGTTATCCAACAGCATATTTCACCAAACACGCCCTTCCAAACACTTTCGACTAGCCATATTATCATTCCTCTGTCATTCCGCAATCACTTGCCCACTAAATCTTTTTCCTAAACATCTCTAGAAGCCCTAAAAGGACATCAACTTGTATCAAAGACTAAAAAACCCTAAATTTTTAAGGATATCTTCTTTACCCTAAATCCAAAATTTCAAAATAAAAAAAAAAATCATCTCCGCTTTACCCAAACCTTCATACCATAATTCCTAGCATCAACTCTGAATTTTCAAATGTTCAACCTTCATATCTTACCAAAATTCTGACCTGACACCTACCACTAAAACCATAACTTTAACCAAACTTTTATCTACAACCCTACAACCATTGAAACATTACTCTACGAACGATATTAACATTTCATTTACTTTTTACAAATTTTCATTACTTTTAGATTACAAAAGAGCCACTAAAAAAACACAAAGTACACTACAATAAAATCAAAATATCAAGAAAAAATAGTATATGCCAGACAACCCCTCATCTAGCATATAGCAGTATCTCACTGTCTTAAAAAAAAAATGTAAAACGAAAACTACAATTACATCACAAAATAATACCTATTAGCAGTAGTTATTCTCATGTAAACTAAATCCCCGTGTCAAATATCAATCTACAATTTTTCCGAAAAAAATAATTAAATTCAGCACTAAAGTTACAAGACATAGTAAGCAATTATAATCTTATATGCATTGAATGACTTTGCAAATGCTATTGCAAGAATGTACACACAAATGCAGTTTATTACTAAATCAAACTATAAATTTTCTTTTTTTTTAATTATACATTCTTGTTTCAATTTAAGTAATTATCATTTTTAAGAAATCGTGTCAGAATTATATCCAAATGTATCCTCAAAATTATAAAGAAAAGTACTCTCAAAATTTTACACCCGAAGGCAAACATTTATCATTTCCATTTATTTTAACATGCAGAGGTACATTGTATCCCCTATAGTACCATCCATGGGTAATCTTTGTTAACTTATTTAGATTTTATTTTCTTTAATTACCTCTATTTTAAGACATTGAACAGTAAAGTTTCCTTTCCCGTTCCATTTTCATTAATTCTAAAGCTTACAACATGCACATAATTATAAAAATAATTGTCTAAAGCATAAAAGAAATTCTTTATTAAATAAATATTAATTTAATTCATATAAAAAATAATTAATTACCTTTACTGTCGCAACTTTCTTCTTTTCCCTCCAAACTGAACTTCCAATAGCTTAAATTCAATGTAATTAAACCTATTATTAATATATTAATAATATATATATATACATATATATATTAGATTTATTAATTAAAATAAATAAACATTAACATTTACATCAGTTAACCTGATCTCTTTTGCACAAATATAGATCTTTATCTCCCTCCCATTCGAGACTTTAATAACTTCGATCATAATATCAAAATCACTTATATTTAAAATTTAAATAATAAACTTATAGATATTATATTCAAAATTTATTAATTAAATTATAATAAAATCGAATGTTCTCTTATCAAAAGCTTTGCAACCCTAATCCATGCACGAGCTTCTCCTTCTTCCTCCTATTCATCTTCACATGAGTCTCAACTCCCTTACACACATAGAAAGCCAGTATACCCACCCTTCTTATTCCTCTGAGTTCTTTTTCCTTCACAGCAGATGAGTCGTATTCCCTTCCTCTTCCTTTGAGCGGGTGCTCGACTTCAACGCAAATTGCAAGTTGATATCCTCTCTCTTCCACCAATTGTGGCTAATCGAGTGTGGTAAGCTTTGCAAGACGGGAAAAAGTCGCACTACCCTTCCTCCTCCTTCGGCTTCTTCTTCTCCATCGACTAAGGTTTCCTTTGTCCTTCAACCTCTTCTTCTTACTCTTAGCACTGGAGTTGCTTTAAACTACAATGAGGACTCGACTGGCTCTCCACTTCACACATGAAGTCGCTCACCTTGCCTTCTCCTTTCTCCTTCCTGAGTGGCTCATTCTGACTTCCCGCAAATACAAAAGGCTCTGCTTAACACACGACTGCAACACTAGGGCACGACACAGGGGCTCAAATCTCCTCCTTACTGCTCACGAAATGTTTTCCACTTATCTGTTTCTCATTCTCCCCATTTTTTATTTTCCTTCGATTCAAACAAAAAGGCTTAATCGAGCCTTAAAACGAAACTATAAGAGTTATTTAAAACCTATGTCATCATTTTTAATATTTATTATTATTATAATTTATCGTATTTACTTCTTTACAAAGATATAGAATCTCCTCTCCTAATAAAAATGTTATTCTCAAAATTTAAAAATAACCATAAAGATAAAATACCTCAAATGAAAAACTGTGCATAGTCTTCTTGTATATCAGAAACTTTCTCCTAAATTGCTTCTCTCTTTGATCTGTGTTTTCATAAAATCTTCACAAATAAAATCTATCTATTACAAAGCCTCTTCACATCACAATCTAGTATTTTTTCAGTCTCATCAACATAAGTCAAATCAAGTTGTACGTCGACTGAATTCGCTATCACCCTATTTGATTCATCGGTAATATATTTTTTAAGTAAAGAAACGTGGAAAATATTATACATTCATTGCATATGAGCCGATAGCTAATCTTTAAGCCACATTTTCAATTTTCTCCATAATCTCATATGGACATACATCTCTAGGATTCAATTTTCCCGTCTTTTCAAATCTTTGCACACCCTTCAAAGAACTAATTTTGATAATAACAAACTCTCGAACTTCAAACTTCATTGATTTATGCTTAGCATCCTAATATTTTCTCTGTCCATCCTACACTGTCTTTAATCTATCTCTAATTAGTATAATCTTTTAGTAGCATCATCAATCAAGCCAGCTCCAATAACATTTTTTTCACCTGCTTCAGCCCAACGTAAAAGTGTCCTGTATTTTCTTCCATACAAAGATTCATATGGAGTCATCTCAATACTAGTCCGATAACTGTTATTATAAGTGAATTCTACTAAAGATATACGTGATTTTCATCCTCTACTAAAGTCAATGATATATAACCTTAGTAGATCCTCCAAAATTTGAAGACATTTCTGGCTGGCCATCCGTCTAAGGGTAAAATGTTGTACTGAAAGTTAATATGATGCCCAAAACTTCATGAATCTTTTTCCACAATCTGGAAGCAAATCTATCAAATCTGTCAAAGACTAAATTCGATACTCCATCCAATCTTATAGTTTCATCCATATACATTTAATTAATCTCTCAACTGGATAAGTTTGTCTAATGGCCAGAAATGGGTAGATTTAATCCATCTATCAATAATTACCCACTAGCATCACGACTCTACCACAACCCAGACAATCTAATCACAAAGTCCATAACAATCTCATCTCATTTCCACTCTAAAATAGGTAAAAGTTGCAACTGGCATTTAGGACGTTGATGTTCCGTCTTCACTAACTAATATGTAAGACAGCCACAAATTCTTCCACCCAATTCTTCAATCCTAGCCACTAAAATGTTTCCTTGAAACCCCGGTACAATTTATTACTCCCTGAATAAATTAGTATAGCCAAACAAAAGTGTTTCCTCTAGAATTTCCCGTCTCACATGAACAACATCTGGACCATAAACATGCATTTATATTTCTCTAAGTCATCTTGATCTAACACATACTTATCTAAATTGTCTGTCTTAACCTGTACCATGATTTTCTGAACACTATTATCTCTAGCTAATGAATCATCAATTCTGCCTTTAAAAGTGGACTGCACAGTCAACTCACTTAATTGAATCATAAGGTCATCATTATAACTAATTATAGATAGCTTCAGCTTCTCCAAATCATTAGTAACAGCTCCTGCAAAGTAAATAAACTATTCAAATTATCT